TATATATACTACTTTTAGCTTTTAGGTCACATTCAGTTCTTTTAGCTTTCACTGTTTAGCTTATTTATCTTTTAGCTGAGTCATTCAGCTCTCTTTATTTCAGCAGAAAATGCAGATTTCTCTAGCTGTGGCTGTTTTTGATCAGACTGATTATGTCATCTGAAAAAAAATTAATTTATTTATTAAAATTGTAAAACTTCTTGCTAAACAAAGTAATTGTTTAATTTCCTGAGAGAAACTGCAGCTGAACGCAGCTCTGAGGTCCAGTCTGACCTAAAAGGATGAAAAGAAGAATTCCTGTGTGATTTTCTCAGAACCGGTCCTGCGGGTCATTGTTCTTTGTTCAGATCAAAGTGTGTGAAGGTGGATCAGAAAGCGCAGGTTCTTCATGGGATCTGGGGGGTGTGGGGGGGTGTCTTTGTTCTAGCTGGGTGGTCAGATTGCAGACCTGTTCTCCAGCGTCTCCTGGAGCTCCTGATGCTGTTCTTGGCTGGTTTCCCATTTTCACAGAAAACACCAGAGCAGAAGAATCTGTTTTCTCAGAGCCGAACGGATCGGCGCAGCTTCAGGTTTTGGTTTCTATAAAATAAATAAAAACAAAATCTGCGTGTGTGATTTCAGCACGTCGGCCTCCCCGTGTTCTCCGTGAAGAAAACACCGAAGAGGATCTACCAGATGACCCACGGGGTCCTGAACCTGCCTCGTAACTTCCTGCTGGACTGGACGTTCGGACACTCGCTGATCAGCTGCCACGTGGAGCACCACCTCTTCCCCTTCCTGTCCGACAACATGTGCTTAAAGGTGGAGCCATGACCTTTGACCTTTATCACCTGAGGCCTGATTCTGAGGACGGGTTTTGTCTGTTCCCTCTGCAGGTGAAGCCGCTCGTGTCCAGGTACCTCACCCAAAAGAAGCTCCCCTACCAGGAGGACACCTACCTGTCCCGCCTGCGCCTGTTCTTCCACAAATACCAGGAGCTGATGGTGTTAGCCCCGCCCATCACAGAGCTGGTGGGGGTGCAGTGACAGAGAGCGGCGCGGAAACCATGAAATTTATTTTATATTAACCTAATCAGATTACAGGCTTTTAAATTTTACTGTAGTTTTGTCTTTTAAACCACTTTGTGTTCTTTTTTTATGATTAATTTACGAGGTGCCAAGTGTAAAATTAAATGTTAAAATCATGTCACTAACATATTTTAATTATTTGTTTCTGAATGTAAAATTTGAGTGAAAAGTTTTCTTCTATCATTTTATTGTTAATTAGCTCACTGTTCTTATATTTAAAGTCTTACTAAATGTTAAAATTGACAGATAAATAATGTAAATATTAAATCCTGAAATCCAAATGTGTAAATTCAAAAGTAAAAAAGTTCATGGTGCAGCTAAATGTTTTACGTTTCAGAATTTCGGAATGGAATCCAGCCTTTTTGTTGGCGCTGGGCTCTTGTTGTGATGTCATCATTACAAGACAAAAAGCAACCGCTAATGCTGCTAACACTTTAGCGTTTCTGAAGATGGTATTTAAAATTTTAATTGCATTCAATGAAAACAACATTGATGGTATCTGCGGTCCGAAGAGCAGCTCGGACACCGGCCCCAACTGCAAGCTGGATGTCTTGCTGGGAATCATTAGCAGCGTTAGCGTTAGCAGTGTTAGCGATGCCGCTGCCCGATCTGTTCTGAAACGATCCGTACTTTCAACTTACTTATGAGTTAAAAGAAATACTTCCAGATGCACTCAATTTAGGAAAAAATACTGGAAATGTATTTCTTTAACTAATTAAAAAGATGTACTAAATTATAATCTGCAGATTTAATATATCATATACATGCTGTAATTGATAAAATATAGATTTACGATGTTTACATATTTATTTATATTAAGTTGCGGATCTAAGCTGACCTATTTCCCTAGACAATATGATAATTCATCTCATCTCCATTTTATTATTTTTTTCCCCCTGGAATAAAAATCCACATCTGTTGCAAATGTTGCCTTTTATATGAAACACTGCAGGTGACGAAAGACTAAAATCTAATCCATTCTGTCATCAAGCCGTCCAGCGACATGCTACATGCTAAAAACAAACCAAGCCCTCCTGGCAGCTTTTCTTTTAGCGCAGGGTCAAACGAGCTGACGATATGAATCGTGTTTCTGGAACAGACCGGGCAGTGACAACAGCGTTAGCAAGTGCTTTTGTCGCAGGATGATGACATCATCACAAGAGAACAGCAAAGGCTAGGTTCCATTCTGAAGTACTTAAATGTAAACTTTGACATTTAACATTTAGATTTAATATTTAATGTTTACATTTAAACATTTAAATGAATAAAACGTAGTAAATTTTAAGAACAGTGAGCAAAATAACCACAAAATGTAAGTGGAACATTTTAAACTAAACTCAGAAAGAGAGCTAAATAAAAAAATATATGTTAGAGACATTTTTTAATATTTATTTTTATACTCTGCGCCCCATATTTATTTTGATTCTCATGTTTTTGTTTACAAGTTAAAATAAATTTACTTCTGAAACCTCTCATTTTGTTTGAATCCTCTTCTCGGACACTTGATGGCAGTGTGTGTCCTCTGGTTCTGAGGGTTCTGGATTAGATTAGGATTATTCTCTGGAGCAGGAACGTCTCAGTTCGAAGCAGGAAGTGAGTTTAAAGAAACTCTGAAGATGATTTTAAGAGTTTTATAAAGAAAAGTTTTAGTTTTCAGTTTCAGCTGGTTCTGACAGGAGGCGGGTCAGGTTCTGTTTGAAGCTGGTTCCTTAGACTGAAACCCACACCTGGGTGCGGTCTGCAGTGAGTGACCCGGTTCCGGGCGTGGCCTGTTTGGTTCTGGGCGTGGCCTGCAACGGGACCTGGTTCTGGGCGTGGCCTGCTTGGTTCTGGGCGTGGCCTGCAGCGGGACCGAAGGCTGATAAAAGCGGCTCCGCAGGTTCGAACAGGCGGAGGATCGGATCGGATCGGACTCACAGAGATGGCAGACCCGTCAGCAGCAGAACCAGCAGATCCTGGTCCCAGGGTGCAGAACCTGTGTCAGGACCTGGGCCCGGATCAACCCGGACCGGTCTGCGTCTCCTGCCTCGGGGATAAAAGTTGTCCAAAGAGTCCACAAAGTCCACTCAAACCGGATCCTGACGGACCCAAACAGAACGGAACCGCTGAGGCTCCGGACCCAAAACCAGCAGAGGAGATCAAAACCCAGGAGGATCCTAAGAGCCCCGAGGAGGACCAGAGAGGGTCGGAACCAGAGGAGAAGGAAGAGGAGCCTCCTTTGGGTCCGGACGATGTGGTCTGTGACTCCTGCATCGAGAGCCCCTGCAGGGCCCTGAAGTCCTGCCTCACCTGCCTGGTGTCCTACTGCGAGGCCCACCTGCGGCCACACCTGGAGAACCCCAAGTTCCAGAACCACAGGCTGCTGGACCCGCTCAGGGACATCGAGAGGCGGACCTGCGAGACCCACAAGTGGCCCCTGGAGGTGTTCTGCTGCTCTGACGTCACCTGCGTGTGTCGGGACTGCGTGACCGAGGACCACCGGGACCACGACACGGTCCCGGTCCAGGAGGCCCGGACGTGGATCGAGGCAGGTGTCCGGTTGTGTTACCTGAGTGACGTCATCAAAGCCTAATAAATTAATTAAGATTAATTTTTTTTATATTTTATAACTCTTCAACTCAAAATATCAGATTAATACAAGTGATTATTATAGAGCATAAAATAAATAAATAATTTATTTAAATTGGAGAATAAAAGTCTTTATGAGGTCATCAGAAATTAACTTTTAATAAGATCTGATCTCAGTGCTGACTCAGCTGGATTTAAAGTCTTATTTACTTTTACTTACTATTTACCTGCCTGGCAGGCCAAAAAAAAAAGATCAGTTTGATAGTTTTTCAGTTAGATTTGACAAAACAACCATTCAGTTTAACTTTCAGGAAGTTATAATCGTTCGATCTCAAACTTCACAAAACCAGAAATAACAAGAAGTGAAAGTAAATTCATCCTGAGTTCAGAGCAACAACAAGACTTTTCAGTTGATTTGTTGAAGTCACGTCTGGAGTTTCAGTTTGTTCTGAAACCAAGAAAAAAAAAACAGCTTCCTGGGATGTTTTTATACAAACAACCAGTTTTTAACCACAAAAAAGTAGATTTTGCAAACAAAATTTTCTTATTCCAACAAATTAAACCGTTTCTCTACAATTTATGAAAACTTATGTGTTTTGACCTCAATGAGGCACCAGGTGTGACATAAAATGTTAAAAAATAGGGTCACTAACATATTTTCATTATTTAGCTCACTTTCTGAAATCCAAGTTACATATTTTACACTTATTTAGCTCAGTGTTTTTACGTTTTAATTTCTTTTACTAAATTTAAATGTTACATATTAAACCTTAAATGTTGGTTTTAAATATTTTAGAATCTGCTTTTATTGTCATCATCCTGCGACAAAAGCAAACACTGGTATAGATGCTAGCACTGCTAATGATGCTAACGCTGCTAATGCTGCTAACGCTGCTAACGCTGCTAATGCTGCTAATGCTGCTAATGCTGCTAACGCCGCTAACGCCGCTAACGCTTCCCCGCAAAACATCAATCTTGCAGTTGTGCTCGATGTCTGAACTGCTCTGTAAGCTGCCGGATAGAGCTGCCACGAACGATTATTTTAATAATCGATTAATCACCGATTTATTTATTCGATTAGTCGACTAATCGGATCATACGTTAATTGAATATAAAACGTACAGCTTAACATGTCAGAATGCAGCTGTTATTATATAACCATGGTTAGATTTTAGCTATATGCTAACTAAAAATAATTGCTGTGGAAGGTAAGTTCTGCTCTGCAGATATTACACAGGTTTCTCTTTCATTTTCTTAAAATGATCCCACACTTTGAGCTCCGTTGTCAGGTAGCCATGATACCAGAGCCTGTCTGTATAATGTCTTGTAACATCCACGGCCTACCCCAGTTACCACTACTGTGCATGTGTGTCAAGGACAGAAAGGCAGATGTGGCAGTGGAAGGTGGCAGTGGAAGGTGTCAAAGCAGTTTGGAGAGAAAAACAAAGTAAAGAACAAAAAAAAAAAAAGAAAACGATTGATTATTAAATTAGCCATCGATTATTTTAATAATCGATAAGACGTCGATTAATCGTGGCAGCCCTACTGCCGGACCACAGGTACCATCCATGTTTTCAATGAACACATTTTGAATTTAGATTTTAAATAGCAGCGTTAGCAACATTAGCTGGTGTTTTTGTCTCACGATGATGACATCACAACAAGAATCAAGCACAGACAGCAAATATTGCAGTTCAGTTCTGAAAAGACTTAAATTTAATTTACCATTTAGCTGCAACATTTAAGATTTAACTTTTGGATTTAGGATTTTAATATTTACATTTATTATAGCGATAGCAAAATGTAAGTAGAGTAAACTAAAATATGATAAAATGTGGAATTTTTAAAGTAGGATTTTCAACTCGGTTAATAAGTTAAATAATAAAGGTGTGTTGGTGACATGTTTTGACATTTTATTTTACACCTGGCCTCATCTTTGTCCAGATCCCCTCAGAGTCCAGTCATCCATTGACTTCCATCATTATCTGTTAAAAAAGGCTGAGATTATGGAAATGAAAAGTTTCGTTGGCATTTAAAAGAGGAAAAATGCATATTTCTCTCATGTTGTCACATTTTTGTTTCTACGGTTTTTCTTTATCTCTGGTTCAAACTGAAATCTTTTCTTTCAGTGAATTGTAGAAGTTGAATTGAGTCTCAGCTTGTCCTGAAACAGGGATTTAAATTAAACAAACTCCTTTTTTTATTAGAAAGGTTTTATTAGTTTTCAGCCTTCAAAGACTCGTCTGAAGGATTTGTTTGGTGAACCCCCTCAGGGTCTGAGCTTCATTAAAGCTCCGGACCCGTCTGGACCTGCTTGAGGAATTCAGGCTCGACTTGTTGGACTGAAAAGAAACAGAGAGTTATCTGAGTGTTTGTGTCGGGGACATATTTCCAGCGTGACGCAGGCTGAGTCGTTGTTTCTGCGGAGAAACTTTCTGAAAGAGTTTCTTGTTTTTGTGACCAACAGAAGGAGCTGAAGGAGAAACAGGTGGAGGTGCTGAAGACGGTGACGGCAGCGGAGAACGCCATCGACAAACTCCAAACCAACACCGTTTCCATTCAGGTAAACCTGAAACATGACTCATCAAAAACAGGACCTGCTGACGGGCGTCGGAGCCGCCCACGTTCATCGGGTTTCTGTCCGTCAGAACCTCAGGAGCTCTTCCTGTCTTTTCACAGCAATCGGTGACGGAGGTCCGAGAGGTGATCGACGCTCAGTTCCAGGAGCTGCAGGCGGTTCTGGAGGGGGCCAAGAAGGAGGTGACGGAGATCCTGGAGGGCGAGGAGCAGCAGGCCCTGAAGCAGGCTGAGGGCATCCGGGTCCACCTGGAGCAGAGGTGCACGGAGCTGAAGAAGACCCAGGTCCAGATGGAGAAGGTGTCCAGGAATAAGAACGACGTGGACTTCCTGCAGGTGAGAACCCGGTCCAGAACCCAGCAGGTTCTGCACCCAATAAATAAAACGTCTCGTTTCAATTGAGTTCAGTCTGGGGTCATCACAAATAACGTTATCTTTGCACTCGTTTTTACTGAAGTATTTATTTTATTTTTACTTGTTTTTGTCCCTTAATCTGTCGTTTAATGTTTTTTATAGAATTACATCTCGTTTGTATGGGGTGCCAAGTGTAAAATAAAATGTTAAATGTCACTAACACATTTTATTATTTAGCTCACAGCTCTTACCCTTTTTCAAAATTTTACCTAATGGTAAATCCTAAATCTAAATGTGTAAATTTAAATGTAAAAGTTAAATCTTAAATGTTGCAGCTAAATTGTATTTTACATGTAATTATTTGAAAATGGAATGCAGCCTTTTGCTTTTTTGTGACATCATCATCTGACAAAACCGGCTAATGATGCTAATGCTGCTGTCACTACTAATGATGCTAATACTGCTATCACTGCTAATGATGCTAACACTGTTATCACTGCTAATGATGTTAATGATGCTAATGCTGCTATCGTGGCTAATGATGCTAATGCTGCTATCACTGCTAATGATGCTAACACTGTTATCACTGCTAATGATGTTAATGATGCTAATGCTGCTATCATGGCTAATGATGCTAATGCTGCTATCACGGCTGACACTGCTAATGATGCTAACACTGCAATCACTACTGATGATGTTAATGATGCTAATGCTGCTATCACTGCTAATGATGCTAATGCTGCTATCACTGCTAACACTTCTAATGATGCTAACACTGCTATCACTGCTAATGATGTTAATGATGCTAATGCTGCTATCACTGCTAATGATGTTAATGGTGCTATGCTGCTATCATGCCAATAATGCCAATTCTGCTATCACGGCTAACACTGCTAATGATGCTAACACTGCTATCACTGCTAACACTGCTAATGACGGTAACACTGCTATCACTGCTAACGATGTTAATGATGCTAATGCTGCTATCATGGCTAATGATGCTAATGCTGCTATCTTGCTAATGATGCTAATGCTGCTATCATGGCTAACACTGCCAATGATGCTAACACTGCTATCACTGATATTGATGTTAATGATGCTAACGCTGCTATCACTGCTAATGATGCTAACGCTGCTATCACCGCTAACACTGCTAATGATGCTAACACTGCTATCACTGCTTATGATGTTGATGATGCTAACGCTGCTATCACTGCCAATTTTGCTAATGACGCTAACACATTTTGAGATGACATTTCAGTTTTTAATTCATATTTTGCTGATTGAAAACAACACGGATGGTACCTGGGAGTCCGTCAGTTTGAAGTGCATCTTGGATGCTGGCCGTAACCGCAAGTTTCATGTCTTGTAGAAAAGCATTGGTAGCATTAGCGTTGTTAGCAGCAAACTTGTAATTTACATATAGTGACCACAGATTAGGTTAAAAATGTCCTACCTTCTTCACAAAAAAGTCCAGTTTTTTATTTCCCTTTAATGTTTTCAGTTTTCAGTTAAAGCTTGCTCTGTTTGCACCAAATCCATCTTTAAACAGAAGTTTCACAGAAGTTTTGCTGAGCGCTTCTCCTGCATTTTCTGAACTCTTGTTAGGTCTGCTGCTTGTATCAATACGCTAAACCAGCAGAAAGTTTCCATAGAGCAGAAAAATTTCTATTCATAAGGATTGACAGTGCCGATTATTGCAGGCAGGGGGTGCATATATTAAAGGGATCCCTGATTAGTTGTAACATTAGACTTTATTTGATAAACATTTATTTTAACTGAAAAATAAAGACTGCAAAAATACTATAGGCATTTTAGTTTTGTAAATTTTTAAAAATATATTTTAACACGGATGGAGCCATTTTATTTACACGCAAAGCATTCTGGGTAAATGATGACGTGGATAGGTCCTCGGTGCGAGGCTGCTAGAGAGCTATATCCACCCTGAAGGTTAATCTTGGACAATATCTGATGATCGACTCTTTTAAATGAAACCAGAGAGCGTTGACAGAGAGGAGAAGGTAGAAATGACTCAGCCTGGAACTGAAAATATGGATGGAGGACAACAGAGCTGCTTCATGGAAGAAGAACCTCAGTTTAGCCTGTTAGCCTGTTTAGCCTATCACCAATGCTATATTGCCTTGTATGTATTAGCTCAGTGCTAGCGCGACAAACAAGCTAAACCGAGGTCCTCCATCCATATTTTCAGTTMCAGGCTGAGTCATTTCTACCTTCTCCTCTCTGTCAACGCTCTCTGGTTTCATTTAAAAGAGTCGATCATCAGATGTTGTCTCCAATATTAACCTTCAGGGTGGATATAGCTCGCTAGCAGCCTCGCACCGAGGACCTATCCACGTCATCATTTACCCAGAATGCTTTGTGTGGAAATAAAATGGCTCCATCCGTGTAATATATTTTAAAACTTTTAGTTTAAAAATGATAAAAACTGAACAGCCTACAGTATTTTTACAGTTAAAATATATGTTTGTTAAATAAAGTCTAATGTTACAACTTATCATGGACCCCTTTTAACATGACAAACGCAGGGCGTCGGGCTGTACTGCCCTATAAATAATACAAAACTAAAAAGGAATCACTGAAAAACATTTCAATAAATTGAATTTAAAATTGTCAAAAATAGATGAAAAACACTGAACAAAACAATACAAGCTAAGTAAATAAGCAATTTCTGTTATTTATTAGGAGGAACTACTTTGTGGGGTGAAATAAGTTAGTTTTTTTGCTGGGGCTGCACCCCACCTGCCCTTATGGACCGGCCACACCTGTTTAAACAACAACCCCCTCTGAACTTAGACCTAGTTTTGGGTCCAGTCTGGAGCAGCACACCTGGAGAGCGGGCAGGTGTGTAAGGGTGTAGCAGCTCAAAGATAAGCAGGGTCACGACCTTTTTTAATGAATAAAAACAAAAGAAAGAATCTTAAAACGGGTTTGCAGCTGAAAATCCCGATCACCTGAAACCTGTTTTTTTGTTTTTCAGGAGTACGCCGAGTGGAAGAAGGAGGCCACCGATAACTCCCTGCCTGGGATCTACATCGGCCTGATGGACCGTCTGAACTCCTTCAGCCGCGTCATCGTCGAGTCCACGAAGGAGCTCTGCGAAACCCTCGTGACTTCGTACGTCGAGAAAGTCAAGGAGACGTGTAAAAACGGTGAGACATCCTGACATTTCAGCTCGGCAGGGCGTGTTCGCACTCGTAAAGATTTTTTGTGCGTTTGCCTCGTGAGTCACGGGCCGTTTGTGTCACGCGAGTGAGATCGTTCGACGCAGCAGAAATACTTGAAATACTTACCTGTATGTTTGCGTCAGCTTTGATCTAATTTTATTTTCTTCAATTTCAGACAAAACGGGAATAAAGATAACGGCGTACACAACATCTGCTGATGGACACAACAAGCCTGCGCCTGAGCCGAAGACACGAGGCGACTTCCTGAAATGTGAGTCGTCTTTTTCAACGTCACATAAATATTTATATCTTATTGTCTCACGTGGATCCTCTGACACTGACAGCAACAGCTTCTGAGCAAAAAAAGGAGGTTTTACCTGTTGGCAGGACAGTTTGAGTTTCAAATATTTAACATATTTGGGATAAGTGAACAGGCTTTAAAAAACAAAACATGATTGTTCTCTAGTTGAAGACGTTTCTTCGCATTTCGAGGATATTTCTCAGGTCAGACTGGAGGAAGTGAAGCTGTAATTCAAACTGCATGAGATGTTCTGTTTATGCAGATTAAACTCCCTCCCCTCCCTCCTGAGGGTCATTAGGGTCTTTGTTAGTCTGTCCCACAGAGACCTGTTGAACCTGACTGGTGTTACGTTTCAGAAATATAAAATCTGAGACCTGAAGTTGGTTTGACATAAACGTCTTCCTTCCAGTGTTGTAAAGTAACTAAGTGCAAATACTTCTTCACTGTATTCAAGTATAATTTATGGGTATCTGTATTTTACTTGAGTAATTATTTTTCAGCCTACTTTTTTACTTCTTCTACTTACATTTTCACACAATTATCTGTACTTTCTCCTTACATTTTTATAAAAGACTAAAAGTAGAAAGTCGTTACTTTTATTTCATTTTTACTTGTTTTCATTGCAGCTTGTTGTTGTAAAAAATAAATACTATCCATATAAACTGTGCCTCCTAGACAGAGTGAATTTAATTATGGTTGAATGAGAAGTATAAATA